AGTAATAATATATTATATTTTAAAATATGCTTTTATATTAATTATAGAGATATATCAAGAATAATATATGTTTAACAAAGCCTAAACAAGAGAGCCCGTAAGGCTTGGTCTCTTTTGAGCCTTACAGCCCGTTGCTTCTTCAATTGAACTTCAGTCCAGCAACGAAATAAAAAGAAATTCTCCTCTTTATATTTGGGCCAGCAGCTCCAATTTATTTATTTTTTTTTTTTTTTTGGGACCTGCAGCCCCACTCCAAATCAGCCCTTTGTCTGTTCCTTTTTTTTCATTAGGCCGCAACTACCCTAGTCTCGTAGATTACTCACAAATGGGCCCTGATGCCGCCCAACCTTTACTTTATTTGCTCAAACTAATATGCCTTTTTCAATTCGATTGCATATGTTGCATTTGAGATTGCAGAGGATCAACTTGAAGTTTGTGCTAAATTTCGAACCTACAGTTTTGAGACGTGTCATAGAAATTTGAAGTTTCTATAAGGACTTTTATTCCGTTCAACTCGTGCCTTGCTGACCTAACATGTGTATGTGTATGTGTGTGTGTGTAATATTTGACTTGCCTCGACACATAAATATTTAACTTGTACTTATACACCTGTGTCATATGTCACATTTCACATCTTCAACAATTGTTTTGTCTTAGTACATCTAATTATCTATATTATTATTAAGAAAACTCTCTGTGTATATATTATTAACTATTTATAAAAAATACTAAGTACTTCTTACCGCAACCACAAAATTTCTAACGGTTATCGCAAGGATGTCTATGCATGACATAGAGCAAGTTTGGCGGAGCCCTCTTCTTTCCTTTCATTTTCGACAATGACGGTTTCGGAGGATACAGTTAAAAGGTACACCCAAAAATCAAAAATTAATATGGATGTTTCCTTGAAAGAGGAGTAAGACATTTATGGGCTTGGGCTTGGGCTTGGGCTTGGGAGGAGGGGAATTAAGATTAAAGAAGTACAACTATAAGTAGATTAAGTCTTACAATATGTTAATAATAATATGATTTAAATTCGTAAAGATGAATATTACTATACTATAGTACTAAGTGACATGAGAATATGAATTAAACATGCATAACGTTTTTTGGATTGGGGTGGTAATGGGAATTTATTAAAGTGTGACATGTCGTGTGTACTGGTTGGCTCGACTAAACACTAATGTGTGGGCACACAACGGGGAACGCAGCTCACTTCAAAGGTAGTTGGTTTCAGAGGTCTTTTCGTTTTCAAAGTTAGGCATAGGATTTAAAGAAAAACAAACTTTATGAAAAACTACCAAGCTCAACTCATTTTATTTGGATTAAATTATACTTTATAGTCGAAGACATTTATATAGACATATAGAGACATGAAATTTTTGGCCCCATTGCACATGACACACATGCCAACGACATTGTCGTTGGAAATTTTGCCAGGACATTTTTCCGGTCATCGAAGATTTTATCGAGAAAAAAAAGTAATAATAATGTCTACTAGGATATTTGAATCCATGACCACCCAAGTGAAACAATGTCAACTTACCAACTTACCTACACATTTATTTTATTGTAAATTTTTATTTTTTATATATCATCACTATTTGTTGAGAATAATGTTGTTGAGCAGTGACATCATTTGGTTAATAATATGTTGTATATTACTCATCAGTGAGTCCACCTTATAAGGACCCTTTCTACCATTCTGTAAATCATCAATGAAATATTACAATTCACACCAAATTTCATATGTTGACATATGTAAAATCAAACAAATCAGTTGGACACCAATATTAACTACAATTTTTACGAACAGCTTAAACACAAAGGAGGCCAATGCCAAGCATAGTTATCCGCCAAATTTGTGGTGCTGCTAAATCAATTTGGAAAAGATAAAGATCTAATAATTTTTAGACCTCCCACCCCATTTTTCATATAAGCCAAGCCTACCAAACAAAAATTAGCTCACCCCGCTCTAGTGGCTCTTAAAATGGAACCCAGTCATAGCATTTTTTTTCTTCTTATTAATGAAAAACAACTCTCTTAGTTAAACACATTGGAGTTTCCTGCTTCTTAAGAAGAAATGAAGTAATTTTACTTCGATGTTCATATGTAAAAGACTATAAATTCATGGTTCTGCCCTTAATTGGATATATATTGTTTGCCAAACGTTTCAGCGAGACTTGTGAGGCTTTGTGCATGTGTCGTACGTGGGGATGCAGATGGAGTCATTTGTGTCCAAAATATTCCATGCAACGAATGGCCCGTGCGCACATGGAGCACCAGTGGACCTGTAGTTTGTCGCCATTTTCTTCAGCACAAGAACTGCCGACAAATTAGATAAACAAAGAACGATATAAATATATTGATCAAGTTGTAGTCGATACGTCTGGTTGGTGGTTTCAAATTCTTAACCTTTTGCTTTCTGTTTAGGTTCTTCCAGTACCGTCCTCTTCATTCAATAATATGCCAAGAATAAAATCTGTGTGTACACAATTAGTAGGTGTACCCAGCACTCACTATTTCTTTGTTGTTTGATCTTCTGGTACATATTAAAAAGGAAAGGACGCTTATATTTATAGGGATTTGGATCCTCTCCTGAGCTAATGGAGAGGATTCTCCTGACCCATCATCGTAGGCTGTTGGATTTTTATCCAACAGCTACAAACAGGGAGTTCCTTTACAGTTATAATAATTGTAACCGTTAGATAAAAATTTAATGGTCCACAATGATGGGTCAGGAGGATCCTTCCCATTAACTTAGGAGAGGATCCAAATCCTATTTATAGCCCATGCTTGGAACTGTGTCAGAGTCCCACATCTTGTGCTGATGAATGATTATTTCATGCCTTAATTTAAAGAATGCATTTTCACAAGAAAATGCAAGGTACTTGAAACTTTTGTTTTTAGGGTATAAATAAGGTATAACATACTTCCCTTACTTCTAGTAGGAGAAAAGCCCTCAACCTTCACTAACCTAGCATCATTTGATCGTACAAATTTTATAATTTGAAACAGTCAATAATCTAGAATTCTGACACAGGGTGCCATATCTTATGATATTTATCTCATGGTTTAATTAAAAGGTGTGTTTTGCCGTCGAATCGTATGGTAAATGAAGAAATTGAATAAAAATCCTAAATCAGTATCCATTAGTGATTTGGAACCCACCAAGAACTGATAATAATTTCACAATTTATTGAATGAATAATAATAAGATGACAACCTTATCGAGTTCAAAAATGTTAATCTTATTATATATTTGTATCATCTTTAATAGAGATAGGACCACATGTGATGGTGAGCCTTACCTTTATTAGAAAAATGATATAAATGATTGTACAAATAGGTGGTACGTATGCCATTACTCTATCGAGTTATTCTTTTAGCTTAGTCATTTGTCCTTGATCACATCTTCACATGAAAAATAATGATTTGTAAGGATCTTGGGCATCCTTTATCGCATATGTTCATCGTATATCGTACAACCAGAAATTATTGTAAATCTTTTTATTTAAAATTAAATATAAACAGTACTTGACGAACATTGGCCGTACGATATACGATGAACGGATGTGATTGGAAAATCCAAAAAGAATCCTCATAATTGGTTCATTATTTTTAAGCTAAATTACCAATTTGCCCCCTGAACTATCACTCAACTTTCGATTTCTCCCATGAACTTTTTAATTGAAAAATTAAAGACTTAAACCAATTTTTTTGGGCGAAACTTTCGATGCACCAAGCAGTTCTCTTTTTATAAAGCGAAACTCGATGCACCGACAGTCAAAGAGTTAATAATCTGCGTGACAAACTTCTTTTATTTTTATGTGCTAAAGTCTCTAAATGGATCACAGAAAGGCAGACAACTTTATGGATAGCTTTATGTGACATATTTTTAGTACATTAACTTCATGAAATATTGGTCCTTGTGTCAATAATATTTTATGCAAGCACTCACTAATGGTGTAGCAAGATCGAATGGAGAAGAAGGGACTATATGTGCAAACATAGAGCCTTTACTGTTCGAAAAATGTCGTTAACATGTGATGAGGACACGGCAGAGCCGAAAGATACCCAACAAACCACGCTGCTGCTTTATTGAATACATGGACAGGAACCTGTACCGATCCTTCCCCACTGCTTTAAATATTTAGCAGCCAGAATTAGAGGGGGAAAAAATATCAAACACAATATATTCCCAACAACCAACTACCAGAAGCAATCCATCTCCCAAAACCCAAATCAAAATAAAATGCTGTCTATGGTAGATGTATTAAGAACAACTTAAACAAGAGCTGCTCAATCAATAACTCCAATTAAAATGGATTCTTCCTTCCACCCTCCCCTCAACAACAAAACCATCCCTTGATATTGCACCAACAAAAAAACATAAGGCTTTTCTCCTGAATAACATTACTCTTTGAGAGAAAACACTTCAAGCTCGATATGTTACAAAGAAAACAATGATGATGAGTTCAATGGGAAGAAGACGCCAAAAGAATATTTGGCTACTGAAAATAACCAGAACGTGAGAAGTTGCTAGTTGGGGGTTAATTTTTTTTCTCCAATTAAAATCTAAGTGTTTTTTTACTTATGGTTATCAGGATGATAATTCTAATTTACTTAAAAATGAATAAACCCAAACCATACCATGATAGTATTATCATTAAAAGATTTGTACTTGACATATATTGTAATACGGTACTACCTTAAGTTAATCAATCTCCGTTTTTGGTGCACATTTAATAATACGGTACTACCTTAAGTTAATCAATCTCTGTCTTTGGTGCACATTTAATATATAAAGCATACAGCTTGGATATTGACAGTAACAGCCAAATTTTACTTAGATTTATGTTTGTTTCCCTTATAGAATGGGTATTAGGGAGAGGAATTCAGACACAGAACCTCCAACACAAGAATAAACACTTTTAACTACTTGAGCTATAAATTATGTAATTGATGTTCTTTAAACTTGTATAAATAAGAAAACGAAAGAGAAGCAAAGGGAGTATTCATGACTGAATTAGAACATGGTTTAGATGCATCTAAGAAGCACAACCACAAGATGTACACTTTTAGGCAGTAGTTGAGATTGCTACCACAATACATTTTAGACATTAAACAAAAAAAACTTAAGATAAATTACAAAGCATTACTAACTAAGAGTAACCTTGCATTGGCCAGATCCATGGCCATATATTAACACAACAAGACCATCATGCCTTCTTCATCAAATTAAAATCCACGGCAGCCTCGGTTGCCTCCAGTGCTCACCGTGCTAAATCGAAAGCACAATGTTGAAGTAGGCGAGCCAACATCCTCTTGTTCATAATCTCCCATAGAATCAAACGAGGAACTTGTGCTCGAAAACTGGCTCCTTCCATGGTACTTCCTTGTGTTCACTGATGAATCTGATGATGACGAGAACAACGAAGATGACGGCGATGAAGGCGAAGATGGCGAAGATGGCACATGGGCTTTCTTGAGACTTATTTTCAGGAAAAGGGTGTGCAAAAGATTGGATCTTGAATGCTTTTTGTTTGGTTTTTTGTAGGAATTGGAAAAGTATGGAGGAGGAGGAGTGAGAGGAGGAAGTGCTGTGTCCTCACTGAATGTGCATTTTGGGGTACCTGGCTGAGATTCCCACATGAATGGGACATTAGCAGGCAATCCTCCATAATAGACTCTCAAAGATGGATTTGCTATGGAGCTTTCCTTGGACAAATGCTTAGAGTTAGAGAAGAACTTGTTCTCATCAGCTTGTTTAGTTGTGAGGGACTTTTGGGGAGGGTCTGGGTTGCCACTGTACATGATTTGGTTTGATCGATGATGGTGTTGTTTGGCTTGCTTTTGTATGAGTTGAAAGTGCTTGAACTTGTAGTGGGGGTTTGGAAGAGAATGTGAAAGTAGAGGAGCGCGCTTTGGCCTTTGTTCCGCTATTTGGGAGTAAATAAATCCACAACACGATGAAGTCAAACAAATAAGATACGTTTATATATAGTTCAGTTAAGTCCTTATTCCAACAAAAAAATAATTTAGTGAACTCGTGAAACTCAACTGTTGACTTTAAAATCTAAGTATGTCGAGGAAATTGTTACTATACAGGCAGCTTCCGTAGATTGGCATCATGATTAGTTGAGAAACTAATGGCTCTATAGGCCTGTTTGATTGTGATTAATGTAATGATAAGGGTGCTGCAAAAGAGATGTAGCTTAAGTGATTAAGAGTATTTAACGTTGTACTTAAGTTTCAACTTTGAGACCAAGGTACATTAAGCGCACTTTTTTTGCGATTGGTAAATGCACTTGTTAAGTGATTAAGAATGTTTAGCTTACATTCGAGGTTCTATATTCGAATCTTCACTCTTGGTATGGTTAGTATAAGACAACAAACAAAACAATGATATATTAAGACCTATATGTGAAATGTCCAGTTATTGAAATCAATCGGCTATGTTTTGGGGCCTCTATGTCAATGGTCCGTATATTATGTTGAGTATGAACTAACAAATCAGTAGTTGAGATTATCAATTGTCTGTGGTCCCTTGACACTGCCCTGATAAGGCTGTTTTCAATTCTCGAAATCAATAATTAAGTAGGTTAGTTGTTCTGATTATTATTCGAATTTAACTCTCAAGTCCTACTGAAGTCGGAAAATGTAGCTGCGTCGCACCCCACAACATATCGACCTCATAATAACAAGCCAAATGGAGGTTCATATTGGACCAAACAAATTGGTCCATATTTGAGCAGGCAGCACTATTATGTAACAATAATAATAATCATAATAATGATAGCAACATTTAAAGATAAGCATATGCAAATAATTTGGGGTATTTTACTTTGAAACAAAAAATATTGCAAATTGCTAAGGAGGATATTTTGATTGGCATGGACGGAGCCACCTTGAGGCGGGGATGCCCCCACTCATTTTTTTTGGTATATAAGGTGTATTCACTAGTTTATTTGTTTGTGACATTAGCATTAACTCTTTCAGTTGCTCTGCCACTATTTAAGGAGCATTTTCGGCTATGAAATTTTTGAAGAATTAATTGAGAAATTGAATAAGAGCTCACTAGATAAATGATAACATGGCTATTATTACATAGAGATATATTTGATGGTATTGGTAGTAAAGTTATCATGCAACGCTTTCAAAATATGAAATGCGTTGAGAGATTTTGTAATATGTTGTATAGAAAACCTTATAGATTAATATATAAGTGTTTTGTTTAATATATTCTTGAGCTTTTGAATTTGTGCCTTCCTTGTTTGAGGATGCCCTCATCCATAAAAAATTTGGGCTTAGTCCTTGTGAGTTGGTAAGGTTCATTCTGTTCATTAAGTTAAGGCCTTATTTGAGTCTCGTTGCCGAAAATCCCTCTTGGTGGATGATCTATAAAAACTAAAAATGAGGTTAAAACCCCCTCTGTAAGTCCTAAAAAAAACTTATGATATGTTCTGATTCTGAGATGAACTAACCTCTTCTTCCCTAAACTTTTTTCAGCTAAAAAATAAATAAAAATAAAAAGATATTGCAAATTGGCAATACCTTTGCCTAGTAAAATAGATAGCTTTTTTAGTAGAGATAGGGTATAACAAAGATTCATGCATGATGCAAACCCTTCGTCGAACTCGAGCCCACGTCGAATAAGAATCATGCCATACGATAAACCGTGTGCATTCTTAGTGGAATTGTCGAAAGACTTACTCGTTTAGAATTACTTTTAAAATGACTAAAAGCCCTTCTGGTGAAATTGTTTTTGAAACCAATCTTTAATAAAATGCAAGTGATCCTTATAAAACATTTAAAGTGCTTCTAGTTATGTGTTTCTTACATGAAACACTTTAAATGCTTTTAGGACCCAAAAACACTTTTGCTAAAAACACTTTTAGTTATTTTAAAAGCACTTCCAAACGAGCCTTTGAGCTTCTACTTCTAATTAGTCACAATCACGTCGCTCTTCTCTTTATATTTTTTTTTAATTTTTGGCCGGTCACCATTATCGCATATTATTATATACAATTGTTTAATTATATACCAAAGTCTTTGAAAATATATATTAAAAGAAGAAGACGACTAAAATCATGCTTGTCAAATTTCAGACGCTCACTTAATTTGAGTACGTATACTACAACATTCTAAGGGAATCACTACATCTGAAATTTAATCACAAAGTGTTCTTTTTTACTTGTAAGTAAGAGGTCTTATGAAGAAAGAGATTTAAAACTAACAACGCGGTGGGTTAAAAAGAAAGATGTTAACCACTAGAGCAATCCACCTCTTGTACTGACCGAATCATGATTTGAAAACATGTTCCATAATTGCTCTATATAAAACATATTTGTACAGTTTTACGGGTTTACGGGTTTTTTAAGTAGAACCATGCATATACGTAAACCCAAATGTTTCATGTATGTTGCCTTTACATATACACGATGTTTAAAAAGCGTTGGGTGCTGGTCAGACGACGGGTAGGAACCCAATGCTCATGCATCTAGGCGGGACCCTAAGTGGTCTTTTTTAATTTAATTAAATTTATTATATAACATACAAATAAATGTCTACATATAATTAAAAAAAAACTATATAATTTTATTGGCATACATAAATTGCAAAATAAAATGACATATAAATTATAAAATATTAAACATATCGAAAACATGGAGAACAAACATATAATGAGTGTTCATCCAATTATCTTACAAGTCTCTTACAAATTATTAAAAAATAAAATAAAAAATGAAAGTTATCTTTTTCTATTTAAATGAGAGTTGCGATGCCCAGACAAACTTACACACTCTTTTTTATTTTTTAAACATCTAAAAATTAATTGTGACAGTAATCAACTGCTTAGAGCCTAGGCAAACCCTTGCGCTCCATGTGCTCCCGAGCCACACTTTGCATTGTATATTATAGACACCATGACTATTTGCATCCCGACGCCATATGCTCAAAGTTTCTCACGGACCTTTTGGTCATGGAATTTTTTGCAACGTTAAGACCATAAAATATGGTTCAATTGCTACATTGACCTACAAACGGCACCATCTTCTCCCTAAGGATCCGCGATAGGCATTCTGTATTTGCAATCAAGCATGTGTTCAAGTCATTAGATTTCTTTGATTTATTAGGAAAACATACAATAGACAGATTTTCCTTTTTTAAGAAACTTCAACAGTACAGGATGAAGAGAGTTAAAGTTCCACCGTAAAACTAATTAGCAATATAAAAAGTAGTTCAACTAGTTATAAGCACATGCAGTGTCCATTATTTTCTCGATGTGAGACTCGTACTCTCAACAAGAGGATGGTATAGTTAGCTTTATTTCGAAACTTCCTGGAGAGAAAGGTTAAAAGGCCAACTACTACACTGTAATTCCGAGGTAAACAAGCTCAAATCCAAGATCAGTTAGATAGAATGCAAGTGACAGAAAGACATCTTCATTAGGGGTGGGTTAAAAAACACCGAAAATCAGGGAAAAAAAAAAAGAATGAACACCAAACCGAAACTAAAAAACCAAAACCCGAAAAAAAAAATCCAAACCAAAAAAGAAAAAACTTAACTGAACCGAATACCTTTACACTTTATGAATATATGTCCATGATGTTTCTTTTGTGAAACTTTGTTGCCAAGTTTGAAACTAAGTCTAGGGCTTTTTAAAGGAGCATACTTGGTTCAATTAGGGAGGATATTTCATTGGTTATAGAGGAAATTTTTGGAAGGCTTTGGAACTTGAAATAGTTTCTCTATTTGTTTGTTTTTTGAATAGATTTTTCTTTGCAATTGAGGTTGTTGACAAAATATGATTGGTTTATATGATCTTGTACATGTACAACTACCTTCCTACTTTCTACTTTTCCCATTTTCTTATTATTAGTCTACCAATGCAAGCCTTTTTCTAAATTTCATATTAAAAAAAATTGTTTTATAAAATAAAATATAAAAAAACCAAAACCGAACCAAACAAAATCAAATCGAAAAAAAAAAAAAAACAAAAAACAAAATCAAACCGAAGTTTCTGTTTGATTTAGATTTTAGCAAAAAACAGAATCGAAAGAATAAAAGAACAGTCAAATAAATTAGTAATCCATATTGCGGCAGCCAATTTGAGAGAAAGGGTATGGACTCCATGAGCCGGGCCTATATTTGCTCCTTTTTAAGTTGGGCTTACATGGCCGTTTACTTGGGCCTGTTCCTATGAAATTTACACTGCAAAATAGTAAAGAAGGTCCAATACGCATGTGATTTTTTTATTTTATTTTATTTTATATAATTTTTGGACAAACGATGTATGTGAATTGTGATGTTAACGAGTTAAAGCCAAGGTTTTAAAAAATGTTAGGTGGCAGTCGGACGGTGGATTGGTGTCTACCACCTAGGCTGTTAAGTGGGGCTTATGTGGTTTTAAGTAAATTTATTATAAATAGTATAAATAAGTATCTACTTATACTTAAATACACATAATTGCATTGGAATACATAAATTGTAAAATAGAATGATATATATATATATATTATAAAGTATTAAAACATAATGCAAAATAAAGGTTATATATTTTCTGTCTAAGAGAAATTCGTGATCTAGGCGGGTGCTTAAACAGGTCTGAACATGCTAGGCAGAAGCCTAAGCAGATATAGGTGCCCTTTCTTAATTTTCAAACGTCTAGAGATTAATCAGGACGGTGGTCAGCTGTCTAGCATTTAGGTTATGCTAGGCGGGAATTTTTAAAATAGTGGTTAAAGAAAATAACAATTGGCCATCAATTAAAGAGAAAGATTGGAAGGAATCCTTACATCAACGTTCCCATGTTCAAATTCGATTTTTTTTTTTTTTAACGAATGATATCGTTTGGTAAATTAAGGGTATAGTCAAACTAAGATTTTAAAGGATTTTAAAAGTGATAGATTTAAAAGGATTTAAAAGGATTAAAGACTCCTACAAAATTCATATGGATTTTAAAGAATTTGAATGGATTGTGGTGGATTGTGGTGGAAGGATTTGAAATCATAGGGGGTGAGGTTGGATTCTTTTTAGTCTTGATTATATATATTTTTCGTCTCAAACCCCACAAAATCCACAACTTATTGAAATCCTCCAAAATCTTAATTTTTTTAATACACTTAGATTTGGATGGATTTTAAAATCCTTTAAAATCTTTTAATTGATTACACCTAGATTTGAATGGATTCTAATCCTTTAAAATCTTTTAATTGATTACATTAGGATTTTAAAATCTTTTAAAATCCTCTCAAATCCGAGTTTGACTACACCCCTAAGTTGTTAAATATTAAAGGTAGGTAGATTGTCAAAATAAATTGACTGGATAAGCTTGGAAATTAAGGAAATAAATCAAGAAATTAAATAGCAAGAGAGGATGAGTAGCGTATAAATTGATTTGCAATGCGCCTCAGCCTATTCCCATACAAGAAAAAAGGATAAGAAGGTAGTATCCACCACTTAGACGTTGGCAATGGCGATGAAAAAAATTTTGGTTGCTGGAATTTTTGTTTCGGCCTTCTTGTTGCTGCTCCAGTGTGAAGAAGCTCATGCAGCAGAATTCGTTGTAGGGGACGACCAGGGATGGGGTCCACAAACTAATGTGTCTCGCTGGCTTGAGGGCAAGAGTTTCAAGGCTGGAGATGTATTGAGTAAGATTTTCAAAGGGCTTAAGAGTTTTCTTTCATCCTCATATTTGATTAATGAATATATGGTCTAATTTTTTCCAACTGTTTTTTCTTTTTGTGCAGTTTTCCGATACACTTGTCCATATTGCTCATTTGTCACTGTAATAAGTGACTATTATTACCGGTTATGCGACGCATATAGTGGTTTGAAGAAATTTTACAATTCAGGAAACGATCGTGTAATATTAGATTATGGTGACAATTTTTTTGTTCCTAGTTATCATGAGTACTGTGAAAAATTGAAGTTCAAGGTTTTCGCTAACTGAGAGATATATTAGCTTTCCCTCAAATAAAAAATCTGCTGAGTATAATATTTTGAATGTTATTTTGGTTTTTCCTTGTTTATTTATGAAATAATTGCTTTTCACATTGGGTTGTTGAATTACCTAATTTGAGAACTTGGATAATTACAATTTTTATTTATTTATGAAAGAATTTCCGCTTTGGTAATACTTTAAATATCCAACTAAATCAAGTTCATAGTTATCTTGAGGGTCATCATTTAACCAAATGAAATTAAAAATACAACAAAAGTACCGTTAGGTTCAGAATTGAAGCAAGTCTTTAGGCTTTTTTCACTGAAAGTGATGAGCAAGTGATAGCAATTTTGCATCTCATCTCCAGCCTTAACACGCTTTTATAAATGGGGGTGGATTCTCTCCCCTCCTAATCTTTCTCCTCTCTTACTTATGGTTACGATGAAGTCACGTCAATATCTTGTATTGAGTTTTTTTTTATAAAGACAATAAGACAAAAAACGTCAACATCTTGTATTGAATTTTTTTTATAAAGACAATAAGACAAAAAAACAAAGTTTGACAGGAATGGAGGGAATGTGATAGGAATATGAAGGGAGAGAATCATCATACTCCTTTATAATTACCCATAAGGCGCCCGTTTAAAATAATCAACGGCCAAACTTGAGCTAACTGTAGAAAGAATATACAAATTGAAAAAAATAAGGAAAAATAAGAAGACAAATTTTTTTTTTTTTTTACCTTCTATATATAAATACTCAATCTCCTCCTTCATTCTCCGCATCACAACTCAATATGTATTTTACCTACAATCTTCTATATTTGTTATTTAGACATTTATGATGTTATTTAGACATTTATTATTACACGTGGATGATAAGAACAACAAAACAATATGTATTTACCTCCAATCTTCTATATTTGTTATTTAGACCTTTATTATGTTTTTTAGACATTTATTATGATACGTGGACGATAATGACAACAACTCAATCTTTATTTCACCTACAATCTTCTATATTTATTTATTGTATTTTTTTATTTGAACAAACAATATTTTTTTATATCAAAGGGGGGAGGAGGGTCAGCTCCACATGGCTTGAAGCGATGGCTTTATTGTGAGTAAGGATGTTGGCATACCTGAGAGATGGATATGTGGAGGAAAGAAGCCAACTTGCTTCTTTTAAATATTAATTTATTGCAAGTGAGATTAATAGACATGTGATGGAAATGCAAGATTGCTTCTTTTAATATTATTTTTCATAGGCAAGCTGGCAGTGGAGCTTCTCTCCACAAGTTTAATGTTCTCATCAAATAGGCTTTCTCAGTTCTCTATATAAAGAAGCAGAGGCACAAAGGTTGTGGACACTCAACCAATCAATCAAGCAACTCAACTCAAATCAGCTCCTCAGTTTCCTTGTAAACATTTACTTTTAGTTAAGCACCCTTTACTTTCCTTGTTTTTAGCTCTGCTGCTCACTCGGTAGTATTGATTTCCTTTGTATTTTTATTTACAACCTTCAAAGCCATTCCCCAAACCACTAGAAATTGCCACAAGACTAGAGTAACTTGCCCAATCCCTTGGGAACAAGCTCCAACCTTGTATTGGGCATCCTTTTGTATTTATATAACTTTGTAATATAAATATTACATTTTTGTACAACTACATTTCCAGTCATTTACTTTCATCTGTTAGTTACACTTCCAGCAAACTTGTCATTTACACATTGTTACATCTCTCCACATAAGTAAAGTCCTTATCTTTAAGGTAAAGAAAGAACTTTGATTTGAGCCACTCCCACTCAATGGCGCAATCTCTTTGTTAGAAGTCGAACTCAAGCGCAATCTCAATCATTTAAATTCCGTTTACTAGCGGCAACTAGTAATAGCATGCTCACACCCACCAATTTCTTGTTCGAGCAAGTTCCTGGCATGTCCACAGGAACCATAGCGAACTTAGGGGGCGAACACCAAGCACGGTCAAAGACGACGTCCTGTTCGCAACTCTACCAAGTTCATAATTCCTACCCCGTCTAATCACGGGAAAGATAATGTGTGCATATTGTGTGAGGAGTTTGCTGGCCAAAGCGCTTGATTACATTGGTGAAAACAAGACTCATACGGTGATCATCGAATACCTACATCAAACCAGCTATCAGTTGCGTTCTTTCAAGCAGAAGTTGAATATCAGAGTGCACGATTAACAAACGAATAAACTAACTATAAACTAATATAATTTTATTGTGAACGAAAGATTGTCATGATGGCTACATAACCCAAGAGGCTACATTGCGAATGACATTTCAAATAAACTAATACAAGCACTACTATATATAGTGAAAAATAAAGCAAAACCCTAATCCTTAATTGGCAAGAAATTCTAAAATCCTTGGTCCACAAGAAAACCATAAACAATAATAAAATAATAACTAATTTTTCAACACCCCCGTCAAACTCATGGCGGTACATGTCATAAGTTTTCCAACAAGCAGATGCAGATGCAAGCTCCGTTAGGCGGACACAACAAGGTAATCTCCATTAGGCGAACAAGACAAGACAAGCTTCGTTAGGTGGACAAAACAAGCGAGCAAGCAATCAAGCTAGCAAATAGGCGAACGAGCGAAAGTATTCCAAGTGGTGCAAGTGCAATATTCCAATCCCAATGCCAGTGTGTACTTTCAATCAAACAAACTTCAGTTCACCAGCACACAACGTCACTCGAGTGGTCACCAATTCAAGTACTCGAGTAATCGTTGCATCAACAAGCTCCAACAGCAGGTTATTTCCATGATATCCGTGTGGGCCTCAGAAAGGTCAAACACAAAAGACAAACAGCACATTTTTTTCCTTGCCGTGTGGGCCTCAAAACCCTAACTACTACTCTCTCTTCGTTTTTTTTTTTTTTTTTTCATTTTCCTCTCTTTTTCTCCAAACAACATTAATAATGAAACATGCAATCTGGGTTCGCAGCGCAACTCGATGTGGGTTCGACGACAGTCGTGGGTCGAACGCGGTCAGCAGCAGGGGCTTGGTAGGAGTAGTGGTGCAGGCGTGACTGAGTGGCAAGACGATGATGCAGCGGAAGGTTCAGGCAGGCAGCGAGGTGGGGGTACGATACGGGTCTGGTTCATGGTGGAGCAGCGTGCAGGTCAGAAACAGCGGCGGTGGCGGGTGGTGGTCGAGCAGCAGCGGTGGTGGATGGTTCTACAGATCAACACGCGTGGATGGTGATGCGGGTTCGTGGCAGTTGTTCCGAGTGTAGAAGAAGACGATGATGTGATGCAGCAAACAGATTCAATTTTTTTTGCTCTCTTTTTTGTAAGCAACAAAACCCTAACAAGGGCACAACGAAGAAGAGGAACGTGACAAGACAAACAAACTAGCTACCAAGAACACATTCAACCTTGAAGGATCAAACTTGCTCTGATACCAAGTTGAATATTAGAGTGCACGATTAACAAACGAACAAACTAACTATAAACTAATATAATTTTATTAAGTGAAGGAAAGATTGCCATGACGGCTACATAACCCAAGAGGCTACATGCGAATGACTTTTCAAATAAACTAATACAAGCACTACTATATATAGTGAAAACTAAAGCAAAACCATAATCTTTAATGGGTAAGAAACTCTAATATCATTGGCCCACAAGAAAAACATAAACAATAATAAAATAAGGGATCTTTTGATTGAGACACCTCAGTTTTGAATTTTTTTAGATCAAACATCCATACCTTTTAATGATTTGATTAAACTTTTTTTTTTGTCATAATTTTGGTGCTATATGCACATTAGATTGTAACAAATTTCTGATAATCTAACATTTTAATTACACTCTCATCTGTTAGAGATAATTGTAAAAAAAAAAAAAAAAAAAGCAAGTTGGTTCAATTCAATATATTTTCACAATAAGCTACAATTTAGCAATAATTATCTACGATCAAAATAATTTAAAATATTTTAAAATCCCATAAAATCAAACATACTGAAATAAGTTTTTCTTTTATTACGTTAAGAGAAAATAGGATTGAGAATAATATAAATGTACCAATACACAATGTGTGCAAAATAAAACGTACCAAAATAAAAATAATGTACCAATATTAACAATATGTATCAAAACAAACGTACCAATTAATGATTTTTGTAAATTCAAACGTATCCGCAAATAATATATGCGTAATGTATTGTACCTAATAATAATTCGTCAACAACTATAATTAAAAAAAAAAAAAGCAAAAAAAAATATAATTTCCCAAAAAAATTGAAAAATTACATGGAGCTTTTATGTTGATCACCAACTATTTGGAAAAAAAAAACACCAACCATTTGGAAAAAGAAATAATATTAAATGTTTGCAAAAAAAAAAAAAAAAAAAAAAAAAACTGTGATCGAAAATGTAACATCCCACATCGCCCAAAGGAGTGATCCTTAAATGTATATTCCCATCCCTACCTAGCACGAGGCCTTTTGGGAGCTCACTGGCTTCGAGTTTCGTAGGAACTGAAGTTGCTTGCGAGTTCCCAAAAACAAAACCGTGAAGGAATGGTAAGCCTAAAGCGGACAATATCGTGCTACGGTGGTGGAGCGGGCTCGGGAAGTGATCCGCCCCTGGCCAAGATGTGACAGAAAAAACATATCTGGAATAAGAGAAAATATAGTTTAATTACTAATATCTCCACTAAATAAGGAAATGTGCATCATGCAGATAAAAGGATAAATTCAAAAATTATTTTAATTTTAAAAAATATAATAATGACATGTAATTTAGCTTGAGTGGTTATTGGTCAAAGCACTTTAATAAAATTTTAAAAAGGCACAGATGTTTAATCTAAATGATATAGAAAAACTGTAAAGAATTCTAATTTTCCTATAAAAGGGATGATAGCTAATTTTCCAACAAACCTTTTCTAATTTCTGACAAAAGTTTTGTAGAAAACTATAACACATTGCAAATAAACAAGATTTATAGAGTATTAGTACACTATCAAATACATTGCTATAAGAAGCTTTCTACAATTATGATAGGCTATGATGCTTTGTATCTAAACCAAAATTATTTGGGGATATTTAATACTACTTTTCTTCTCTCAAAACGTTGAGGAAAAAACTTTCTGAACGTCTTTACCCTTTTTTTGTGGGACATTGGGTCACCTTGATCAGCCAGTAGCCACAGTTTTTAGATGATTTGTGATAAATGATGATTACCGCTATCTTTTCGAACTTAAAAGATGGAACCCTGTTCATTTTCATTAAATCCACAAGCTTAAGAAGAAAACTTGGAGCCCCAAATGCATGTCTTTTTTATTTATCGCTGATATTTAGTTTGTTTGCGGAAGGTCAACTGGCTACTGCACATGTGCCTTGAACTTAATCATTTGCCACGCATGACCAATGTTAGACTGCTGTTATCGGGTCTAGCCCTGAATAAACCTTCAATTCTTTCTATCTACTCAGTAGTAGCATTCTGCAATTGGCCCCTTGCTCTCTCTGTCTTGAGAAAACTTCACCACCACCCCTTGCTAAAGGTATAACGATATTATATAGTTTACGAAGGAGGTAGAAACTATTTTGTAAATGAGTAGATATTACTTGTTAGACTAACAGAACTAGTCGAGTAACAAAGCTCAGAGATTACAGTTGCAGCTTTGGAGTGATTGTGTGGAAAATTTGTTATTTACAAATTTTACTAACTAAAACAAAAATATAGCTAGCACTAGGAGACACACCATACTAGTAAAAATATTGTGGATCGCACCACTAGCGGCCCGACATCGAATATTGACTTTCCTGCACACTGATCTTATCTCTCCGTCTTGGCCTGTGAGTATGCCCAGACTTCCCAGTTTTTGCATTGCTTGGGCAAAGTCCGAATGGAATGTATCGGGATATGCTATGTACGCTCTGACATAAGATGAAGTCAGGCTACCGTTCATTAGTTGCTGATCAGAATGGAGAAGGCCCATTTCCATCTCCAAATTTTTGAAGTAGGCGAAGTCAAATCGGGTATCAGTTGTGATGTCGAGTGGCTGGGTCACACTGGTGACATTGCTGAGCCATTCCTCCTTTGGACAGACCACCTTTAGCTTCTCACCAAGGGACACATTTAAATCCTTGTCATTGTAGATGCGGTGGTAAAAGGAGGCGCAGTGTGCTGCTCCAATGGTGTGTGCCCCTACATTCAATTAATCAATATTATTACAAAATCTCGTCTCCAAAACAATCTACATAACTAAAGAGGAGCATCCCCTCACATATACTATTTCTTAAACCCTCACGCATACTAATTTTGTCTCCTTAACCCACCTAGTCAAACTAGAACATAACCAAGTGAACTTTGCCAACCTAACAAAACTTACAATGTGTTAAAATCAGATGGAGAATAAGCAATAAAGTGCGTTATAATCAAACAGAGACAATATAAGCAATAAAGTGTGCTTCTTCATGATACCGAGCAGATACAGAAGCATCAATAAAGTCCCACATCACAACATTATATGACATGTAAAATGTGTTATAATCAAACTGAAAAACAATAATTTGTTAATTACCTGATAAGGCCACCATCTCTCTGGAATTGAACCCTTTTAGCTCAAATGCAGAGATCAATTCAGAAAGATTGAAGTTGGGGGACGGGATATTAACGCCAACATCTGAGAAATTGGCCTTGGTGGAGTCCCTCCGGCCCAATTGGACGTCCCATGTAGGGCCATTCCACTAGGAGCGAAATAAATTGTTGGGCACCAATTAGAAGCAAAGTAAAAAAGAAGACTACGAATTATATGGATTCTAAAATAACAAATGACACAAAAGAAAAAATTCGTGAAAAACAATTACTTTTGGAAAACGGATATTAATAGACTTATTTAGCTACATAGTTGTTTATTCATATCTTCGAAAGAAAATTCGAAATTTTTCATAAAAATTACTCTAATATCTCTCAAACTCTCAACTTCACTCATTCTCCACTCATTGTAAAATCTTCCACAATTAAACAAAGAGTGCTATCACCAAAAGAAAATAGCGAACTTGAAGTTTAAAAGCTACCTACGGTTAGAAATAACAAAATCAGGGACTTAGGAAGTTCAGTAATTTTACCGAAGGGTACCATCCCGAATGATTAATTTTACCACGAAATGAATCCAAAGTTGCAACTTATGAATCTACCCTTCAGTGCAACCAACACGAAATATATGACAAGATGTATCAGGACACAATCCCATATGGAACAAACCTAAACAGTTGAGTCCCCCACTGAGCAATACAAACATAAGCCACCCTTCCTCTTTCGCAGAAGGCTGACACAGATTTCATAATTCTCAATTGCTTTGGCATTAAATCAAAAACTTACACGCCTGGATTCCCGACGCTAAAACGATAATCCTATGGGTTGTTCATTAGTCATAAAGCCATAAACTCCCAAAAATGACAGAAACAGACAACTAACAGCATATGGCACACACATTTCCACAGAAACTGAAATTTCTTACCGCAACTACAGAATCTCTGGCGGCCACCGCTAGGATGTCTGCACAAGACACGGTTGCAGGACACGCCACCTCCAATGCTGCCTTTATGTCGTCCACCACCTCGAACCCACGAAGGGATCTCAAGTTTAGCGGAGCGGACTTCTCTCCTATCACTTCTACCGTATCGTCCAGAAGAATGGAGGCATCGCAACCCTACAAAGAAGATAAAAATCACGTTAAATTTCATTCCGAGTGCCATGATATAGTCCAGATACAATTTAGCAAAATATTGTACAAAAGAAAAAAGAACATACAGATATAGCATACTCACGTTCACAAAACAGTCGTGAAAGAAGAGGTTGAGAAGCGAGGCTGCCATGCGTGGCTCGTCTAGGACAACAGTGTGGACATGACGCTCGATGATAGTCATCATGTCAGGACACTTTGAAGAATAGGGGTTAGAGGTGTTGTCGGAAGCATTAGTAATTGAGAAGAATGAAATAAAGAAAATTAAGACGAAAGCCATGCTTCCTTCTCAAAAAGCTTTTTCTGTGCTGTGGAAGTGGCTGGCGTTTGTTGCATGGGTGTTGTGTGCGTGTGTGTGTGTGTATAATTAGGTGGATGATCAATGGAAGTCAATGATAAAAAAAGAGAGATACTAAGAATTAGGTGGATGATTAATGGAAGTCAATGATAAAAAAAAGAAGCAGAGAGATACTAAGAATACATAAGAAATATTGAACTGCACTCTAGTTTTCTTTCTTTTCTTTTTTTTTTTTTTTTATTAAATCCAGATGAATATTTTGTTTTGGAATTGGTTTGCAAGTTACACAAGCAATCCAAGTATAGTAGGTCTAGTAATCTAAGAGCTAGACTTTGAACATGTTTTTTTAGGGCTATAGGAGAGGAGAACTTTGAAATCAATGTGTAGGTATGAAGAATGGTGTGTGGAAATCCTTTTGCATATATATTTTTGTTTTTCAAACACTTCCATTTATATAGTTAGTCGAGGTCCACGGCTGTCTTTTGAAAATGTAATACTCATGCATGGTTAATTGGCTGCTATTCCATATCCAGTTCTGGACAGTTGTGCAAATTCTTTTACAAGTTTTCGAGGCAAAATCAATTTTGTAATATTTTTTTTTTGACTAAGTCAAGGGTATCCCAAAGGCTTCCCAGGCTCAAGGACTAATCCCTCCGGTGCATGTGAAATGCTCCAACTGTGCATTGCAGCACAGTGCCTGGCCACTTTGACAGCTTCGGGGTTCGAAGCTAGGCTGGGGAGCAAACCCAACTAGGCAAGAACTACTTAGGCCACTTGCAGTGGTTCAATTTTGTAATATTGACTCGACCCATTACATCTTTATTATAGGATAAAAACAATTTAAATATTAAACACAAAACAAAAAATACGAGCTAAAACTTTGTGGTTTTATTTGTACGTAATTACTTTTGCAGGTTAGGTGGTAATATATACTTTTATACACCATTATTTATAAACTTACATGCATGTTAGGTGAAATTGTTTCTTAGATTAAACCTAGTTCGGACCCTGCTGCATAAGCGAATTTTTAAATTAAGTATGTTACAAGTCATTTACTAATTGGTCGGGTTGATAAGTTGAATTGGAGATGGCACATAGTAACCTAAAGTCGACACCAGCATTTGAAAATTCCCATCAACATTTTCATCACTTTTGTCACGTACAATTAATGTGTTTTAAATCTTTGAAAAACATAATCATCGACCCCTATTATGTTACCCTACACACACATTTTCTTGTTGCTACCAACGTTATTGTTGAAGTAACTCAAGAGTTAATGGCCTTCCCGCTACGGACTGGTAGAATTGTAAAACACCAAAAGACATTTGATCTAACAAAAACTACCATTTACAACTGTCATTTACTGCCACCCCTCATCAACCACCCTTTCTTCACGTTATACAGCTCCCATGCCTTAACTACTTACAGCTTTTGTATAATTTTTGCACATTTTTCCACATATATTTTGTTAGTCATAGTCACAGCTGTTCATAATTTAATGCTCGTCCTTTTGCAAGTTTAAAGGTCAAATGTGTTCTATAACAGTGAATCACCCTAACTAGCTAGTATCCTTTAGTGAAATTCATTTGAACTCAATAATTTTATGGGGAATTTATACTTAAGGGCCTAAATATGAGGGTAAGGTTTAGTTAGTATTTTTTGGTTTTCTATAACAATCTTTCGATCTTCCTGGTATCTTGTATTATGAGGGGTAAGGTTAATTTGTTTGTATATGAGAGGTCTTAGGTTCGATAATTTATACTTAAGGGCCTAAATATGAGGGTAAGGTTTAGTTAGTATTTTTTGGTTTTCTATAACAATCTTTCGATCTTCCTGGTATCTTGTATTATGAGGGGTAAGGTTAATTTGTTTGTATGTGAGAGGTCTTAGGTTCGATTCTTGCTAAAGGCGAATTTGAACCACATTATTGTTAACCTATTGTGAGGCTAAGTTCACCCCTCATCATTAGTGTTGATAATATTGTTTGTTAAAAAAAAAAAAACTTTTGTACCATCGAGGTTTTCAGAAAAAATAAAAAAAAGGGACTTAAAGGGCCTAAACAAATTTCTTTATTGTTACCTGAATAGTTTTATAAATCTAATATTAGTCCAAAATTTAGTCCCTATGTTGATCATACTAAAGTGTTTCCCCACTTGTTCTTGGCAAATTTGCCCAAATTCCTTCATTTACTATCCCAAAATAGCGTTTGAGATACTTTTGAAACTTTGTTTACCATTTGTTTTATCTTCTATTTAAACATTTAGTCTTCTAGGGTATTTTTTTTATGTTTTGGACGTATATCTCTAATGTGTTGAAAGTGTTATCTTTCGATTATTATTAATAAAATGTGAGTTTTCCTCTCTATTTCTTTCCAGTGGATTCTAGTGAAGGAATATTGTTCGAGCTTCCTTGTTATATCCCAATGTGTCACATAACTAAGTGAACTTTAACAACCTAAATTAAAAATCACATGCACCTATATCTGTACAAGAAATTACTCTCATCCAGTGTCATGAATATTAAAAGTAATGACCATTTTACTAGAAAACGAAATGTAACAAACTATTGGTTTATATGATCAGTATAATGTACTCATTGACTTTCTAAATAAAAATTTAAAGTAAAACCAAATGAAAATAAAAAAGCAACACAAAAGTAACGTTAGTTTTTTATTTTTTTTTTGAGAGAAGAAACGTTAGGTTTAGGATTAGTAATTTCCTTTCCTTTTATATATGGAATCGAGGCAAAAGTTATTAGCCTTTTTTCAATGAGAATAGCTAGTAGCTAGCAATTTGCTCATTTCCAGCAATCAACTACAGTATAAGAGGCAAGGCTGAAATCAGCAAGACGTTAGGCATGTTTTAATTTTTTAGGTAAATTATACAAAATTACTTCAACTATGAATCACGTTACATTTTCATACCTCATGTTTTAAACATTGTAATGTCATATCTCAATTTATAATTTCTTTGCAATGTCAGACCTCCGTTAGTGATTCTGTCAAATTGGCCTTTAAGTGACAACTTGGCAAATAGAGGGCTTGATAGGTGCATTATTTATCATGTTTTCATATTAATTATCCCTAAGTTTTGTTAAGGAATTGATTATAAAAGAGCCTTATTACTTTCTTTTTCTCAGTTTCAGCCATTCTGTGCACTTAGGACGTTTTTGGTGATAATTCGACTTTCCGGAGGAGTATGCAAGGCTAATTAGAGAAGGAAGCTAAGAGGTTGAAGATCATTGTGTCCAAATTTCATAATTTTCCATGAAGCCATTCATTCCAGGTTTTACAAATGAATCCTGCAGAAATTGTTTTCCCATCAAAATTGCGCAGCTGTAGGAGAATGAAGATTTGAAGACTTTCCCGATTTTTTCTAGTGGCGTGTGATATATGCTTGAAAAGATAAAGAGATAAAGCTACGTTTCCATATTTTTACAGAATTTTCTAGAAGATAAATCGACCCCAAAATTGGTGTGCAAGGCAGATGACGTGTTTCCCAAGCCAAGAAGGATTCTTTCCTAATTTGTGTCATTAATTGTTTAGGAGTTTGTTTTATTTTAGGAGTTTTTCTCCTAGACCTTTTAGGGTTTTCTAGTATAAATAAGGTCCCTAAGCTCTCTCTAAAAGGGATCCATCTTCCATCCATCAATCCATCCATCCATACCACTGCACCATACTACATCATACTACCATCTCCGCAATTAGTGAAGAAGAGCTTAGGGACGTGCTTTGCCATGGATTCTGGGTTCTATCTTTCTTTTATTTTTATTTCTATGTGTAACTAAGTTATTTTCTAAGGTTTATGATGAAGCCATGACATGAATATTTGCGAAGTACTTTGTTGATTATTATCCGATTATATGCCATGTTATATTCTTTATCTTTATGGGTATTTTATTCTCGGTTTGAGTTTCTAATGAATAATCACCTTTAGGAATTTTGCATCTAGAAATTTAGATAAATCTATGAGGATGACCAATATCAATTAGGTTTATTGGAACTAAGATTAAGAAGAGTAGACAAACTATCGAGGATGACCAATATCAAGCTAGTCCTACTTGGTTGACATAATTCTTCTATGCTTAGTGGGTTTCTATGTGTTTAATTGTATGCCTAACCAATAGGATATAATTATCACATAGAGATACAAGAGTTGATGCCTGAATACGGATTAATTCATACCTTAGAAAGAACAACCTTTAACATTGGCATGGTAATTGGATAGTAATTGGCTCTAGGAAAAGTAAATACGATTGTTATTGGTGGATTCATAACCTTAGGCTTTCTTGTGTCGTGTGTTTATTTTAATTCATTGTCTTTTACTTTTCTTGTTAATTTTAGTTTTAATCAATTATTCAATTCAATCTATCATTTGTTTGCTTAATTAAGTCTAGCGTGATTAATCGGTTGAATTGGTATTAAAGCAATCCATGTGGGATCGACTTCATATTTGCATATATTACTACAATTGATTCGTGCACTTGCGAGTTTAATTTGGTTTAAATTAATCTATTATTTAAGTTAGTTTAAATACACATCAGGGCTCATATATTTGCTGACATGGCAGTTGTTATGCTCGTAAATTCACTATTATATATATAATAATTCACCTTGTTTACACCTTTGTTTTACTCTTCTATATAGGTTTTACATTATATTTGTGTTTTGTAGGTTGTAACAAGCAAAAGAGTGGAAGGGGAGTTAAAAAAGGCTTTTACAATCATATGTCATCAGCACAGCCTGTGTAGATCAGCTAAGTTCGTGGGTTAAACTGTATTGACTCAGAAGGAACCATGAGATGTCCCACATATGCTTGAAAAGCCACGGATGTCTATTCTTCGTAGAATTTTACGGTTCGTGAATATCATTTTTTTAGAGGGGGTTATGG